TCCTCCGGCTTTAGCGCGTCGGCCCGCCTTCCCCCCCGCCGCCCCGCCATTCGTGGCAGCAGGGCCCCCTGGCGGGCCTCCTCTGAGACCCGGGCTCTGGCACCAAGGGCGCCTCGATCGGCCCTCGCCTGCGATGCTCCCGTGCAACCGAGATGTCGCGATCGGTCCTCCTCCTCCTCCTCCTCCTCTCCTCCTCCTCCTTCTCTCCCCTCCTCTCCTCCTCCTCCCCCTCCTCCTCCTCCTCCTCCTCCTCCTCCTCCCCCTCCTCCTCCTACTACCCCTCCTCCTCCTCCTCCTCCTCCTCCTCCTCCTCCGCCTGCTCGTCCTCGTCCTGGTCCGGGCCCTGGGCCGCCTGCGATGCTCCCCAGACCCCCGCTCGTGCTGCGACGAAATCACGACGGGGGAGGTTGTCGTTACGTTCGGCCCGGGGGGCCCGGCACCGGGGCCTCGGGGGCCGTCAAAGAATGACGCAGCGCAGGAGACACCGGCCCCAGGGACTGGGTCGAGACCCCTGGGGGTCGACGTTTCGAGTAGGGCATCGTCTACAACAGCGATGGACCCCCAAAACTGATGTCCTCGTCGAGTCCTACGTCGAGCTTCCGCAGATCTTCGGACATTCTTCGGGGGCGGAAAGGAGGGGGGTGATGATTAGGTGGGGGTGGATATCATGGCGGGGGCCACGATATCTCCCCAGATCTCGTGGCGCCTCTTCTTATCTCATTACGTCCCTGGCCCCCACGCTGGGCCGCGCACATGCCGCCAGTCATGATTTGCACCCCCTCCCTCTCTGACACCCCCCTCATGGGCTCCCTAATTCTACGCATGTCCAACGAACACATAATTTGGGGGGGGCAAGCCGATTCTGCAGCCCATCCCCTGCTCCAGCGCTGCGGCACAATTCGCGACGTCGGGGCTCTGCATATGGAGCCCGTGCGAGACCGTGGACGTGACGCCGCGAGGACCGGGCCCCCCCGCCTCGCTCCAGCGTGGCCAGGTCCTCCATCGCGACCAAAACGACGCGAAGGTCGGGACACAATCGGATCGGGGTAACTCGAAATCTCTGAGAAGCGGCGGGTCTGAAGGATGTATTGGGCGCCGCGGCCGCTCCAGAGCGTTCCGGAACGCTCTGAGAGCGCTCCGGAACGCTCTGGAGCGATTTATCCCGATCCTAGCCCTGTTTTAGCGACGCGTGGCCGTGCCAGGCGATGCCTCTCGCAGCCGTGCGGGCTCGAGGCTGCCGGTGCCGGCGCACCGACCGAGCGGCCACCGCCGCTCGCGTTGCCGCCGCGCCGCGGCGACAGCCGCCCCGGAGACGCGCGCGCGAGAGGGGCCATCTCAGGGGCGGCCTCACCGAGATCCCCTGTAGCAAGCCATCCCCCTCTGTGGCCTCACGGTCGCCTCGCCCCAGGACGTGTGTGTGTGTGTGTGTGTGTTTGTGTGTGCGCGTGTGCGTGTGCGTGTGCGTGTGCGTGTGCGTGTGCGTGTGCGTGTGCGTGTGCGTGTGCGTGTGCTGCGTGTGCGTGCGTGCGTGTGTGCGTGTGCGTGTGCGTGTGCGTGTGCGTGTG